TTTATTAAACAATGTTTCATCAACTTTATTTCAACATTATACGTAACGGTCCTGTTAGTAGACTAATTTCTGATTTTATTTCAATACCTATTTTTGATCGATCCATTTTGCTCTTTTATTAACAATTCTGTTTATTACTCTCTTTAATATTACGTACGCTATACTTTTCTTGATAGCGAATACCATTGGTATGAAAAGAGGAAAAGAAATTTTTGTCCATAATGCATTATGGTTAATTTATAATTGAAAAGGTTACTCCAATTCAATTTAAAATTGGCGTATATTCGAGAAAGTAGTTATCATTTCAGGGGGTTGTGCTATTTTACAAGAAAATGGAAATGCTTGGGAAAATTTACGGCTTAATCCGAGAAAGCGGTTAACGTTAAAACTATATAGTACTAGTCGCATCCTGTATGACTCAACATGCCATGTTTTTGAGCTTGAAATGGACATACCGTGTTCGAAGAAGAAGACCGGGTCACAAAACTTTATTAGAAGCGCCTAGAGGGGAATTAGACGGGTAGAAAACGGAGGATGGCCACATACGAGATGAGTAACTACATATATACATATATGATTCTTCAGGAAATGTTAGGTATCTGAAACTCTAGGTTTGTATAACAGATTCTAACGTCTATAGGGAACCATTACATCAGAAAAAGCTTCATTAATTTTAAGGCAATCTAATTTACTGTTTTCAATCTCTGTCGACTCATTTAATGGAAGAAAATATCCCATTATGAATCATTTTTTCTTTAGTTCCATTTCTGCGAAGACTCAGTAGCGAATTAAGAATCTAAAGTTTTGGTTTGCTCACTTGTCGGTCTGTCCATCCTTCTGTCTGTCTATATGTTACAACCTTGTCAACCTGTTTATTTATAAACTATAACAATTTTTTTTTGGTCGTTGATTGGATTAGATCTCTTCCAACTGAGTTGAGATAATGAATTTATGGTTAAAAAATAGTTCTTATTTATGGTTTCTGATGTGATATTACTGGAATTGAGTTGTTCGTTGTAAATATTTGAAGTAGAGGAGGGTTTCTGGTTTTCGCGGACTATAAATTTCCTTGATTTGGTTTTATATTAACATATTGTTAATTTCTTGTTGTATTTGAATTTGAGCTCTCATTCGGCCAAGTGAATTCAGAAACCGCTAGTGGTGTTACCTAGGGAAACTTTGTTTTGAAAAAAGGCGTCCGAGATCATTTGTGAGAAACGGTTCCGCTTTTTTGGTAATATTTATCACAAAATTAAGATTTTTTTTCCACGTAAAGAGTAGATTCTCACATCCATTAAAAACTACTTGTTATAATGAAAGGTAGATACCTATTAACATACAATTTGGTCTACCTGCGAACATGAATAGCTGAGCAAAACTGAATTGATTTTTTCTCACAACGTTAAAATGTACACAGGTAATTTTGGCGCCTGACTGGTTTCCATCGACTATTTCAATAAATACATCGTACTCAAACCTGGTTTTATTATGAAAACCTTTCGCTAATGGCTTTTAAAAATGTTTTTTTTTTCTCATCGCATTCAGTGTCACAAAACGTGCACATTTCTGAATGTAGGTATACAATTTATATACGCGCTTTTTAATGACAAGAAGCAAATTGTTCAATTCTACCATGACAATGTAGGTAAAATGCACGTAGTTAATACAGAATAAAATGCAGTGTCAGCAGTAATTACGAGAATAATTTGTGAAAAATGAAAATTCCGATGTACCTAGTTACATTTCGAATTGGAGTGTTTTTTTTAAGCCAGCTCGGGATTTCACATATCCACGTTTATCTTATTCAATTTTAACTGATTTAATAAGTTTATATTTTGGCATTTATTGCTACATTTCACTTTAGATAAGTTACTGTGTTTATCTTATCTTAATTAAATAAAATTGGTATTCATGTATACGATTGGTTCACTTCTATCTATAANTATCGCTATGTTATTTTATTTATTTGCTTTAATTGCGGTAATAAATCAATGAACCACAATTTTTTTATTGTTGCCCACGAGTTTATACATAACAATCATACAGCCGACACATTATTCAAATAATTTTTCGTTTAGTCTTGAGCATTTCGTCTTGGTCTTGCATATTTGGTCTTGGTTTTAATCTTGGTCATGTTCGTTTGGTCTTGGTATTGCCAGTGTAAAGTCAGTTTTGGTCTCCGTCTTAGTCTTTCTTTTTCGCAAGACCAAGACCAAAGCCAAGACTGCAAGACAAGACCAATTTTGCCCATCCCTATGTGTACATCATGCGATATGCTAATCAAGAAAACTAATTTGCACAATAATGTAACGTTTACTGCTTTATTATTTATCTAATTGTACTTAGAAATACCCAATTTACATAAACTCTAAAAATATAATAAAGAACATAAATAAGGTCCTCGTCAAACATACGAAATAGCACAGTTAACAGTGAATATCAGTAGATGGCGATGTAGTGCCTGCGGCTCGATATTATATCAATTTGCTTTTCAAAAGTTCGATAAATATCGATCGAGATCTTTTATGCATTTGTTGTTAGTTTACAAGAATGGTGCATCCTGAGCCGGTCCTGATTGTGATCTTACCATCTTAATTCCTAAAAAGTTGTTCGTTACAGCAGCGAAAGTCCCATTAATGGTTTTAGTGTTTGTTAAGAGATGGTTACGTTATACGAAGAAAGACCGTTTTTAAAAAACAATAATATTTCACCACAGTCTTGGATGATATCGCCATACTTCACATTTAAATCTACAAGAAAATCTATCAATAGTTCTCATCTTTTTTACTTATATTTGCGCGTGCGTATTTTTCTAAAATTAGTTGTGAACGTTGGAAGATGCGCCTGCGCAAATAGTGGTAGGAAATGGAAACAAACGGACACGCTAATAGTAATCTGCACAGAAATGTTCATTTATAAAATGGCATGTAAGTAATCGGATCAAAGAATTGTATCAATTTAACAAACGATAAAACGGTGTAGTGGTAATTGTTTACTTCTTTTTTTTGTCAATAGCAGGCAGTGCCGATTTCCTATGACGCGGAAAAAGGAAATGACAATATTTTCTCTACACGCTCTAAACTCCAAAATTGTATGTACTGAACACACTACGTTTATGTATAATCCTGATATTGTCTCTGATTCAGTTGTACGATTTGCGAGGATTTCCTGATTAATTTCATTTGTTACAAATTGGATTGACTTTTAAAGATGAAGGTCTCAACCAGTTTATGAGTATTTTGAGAACTATTCACATTAATAGTTTCTAAATTAAACATTTCGAACAGAAACAATTAAAATTAGACGTTTATTAGTTTCGTTGTGGAGTAGGTAGTACTTAACTTATTAAATCAACTTTTAGGTTATGCAAGTTTGTTCTGGAAAATATCTTTTTTATTCGCAATAAGTGCAGTTTTTACTAATTATGAAATAGCGTAGTCAAGAAAATTTCAAAATACCTTAAGTATTACTCAGAGATTATTCGGTAGTTTAAAAATAATAGGTACGTAACTAAATTCTGTATCGCAGAGAATTCAAAGGTAGGTAGATGCTAAAGTTGCTAAATGGATACATTATTTTGAAATACTCTACTAATTTAAATTGTGCAATTTGTAAAACGTTTACGTATAATTTGTTCATCTTTTGTTGTCTATACCTACATATATAATAGTTGTAGTAAATTCTAGTATTGGGTGTATTTTATTTGAGGTAAATTGTTCATTCCTTGATCTGAGTAACTGGTTCGGAAATGTTGCCAAAAACGTGAATCGAGGATGAAATTATTATTTTTAGTGTTTTGTTTTGTTACGTACATCTCGCTTTAACTCATGTGTAAATATACAATTTTTCTAGGCTTCTAATTTAAAAAGGTATCTTTGATTTAAAATTGTATACGCACGTGGACTTTTTTATTATGTAACTTATTTCATGCGGATTTGTTCAAACAAAACAAACAGATCAACTATTGGATAAATCATACTGTGCAAAACCCAGAATAAGATGCAAGTTGAGTATACATAAGTAATAAATAAGGTCACTGCATTCATGAATTAAAAAACCTTCTTGTGCCATTATTACAAAACGACCTTTTTCTATACATATCGTTCGTAATATGATTGTACGACGTTCATTAATATATTTATTGTAATAACACATTTTTATACTAAATTCACAAAATTACGTATTAAAAAGCCATGGTAGTATTATTGAAGTCATTGTTACAGTAATATTAATAACGGTAATATTCTTTAAGTATTTAAGAAATGCTTTAATAGCCGATTTCCTCCAATTAGGAATATTACATTGTTTTAAGCGGGCGGAATTATGAACTGACGCCAGAGTTCCGCAAGAGATGAAAGTAGTTATTTAATAAAACCGATTAAAAATTGAATTAACGTGCTTGATTGTCTATAATGTAATAATTTCATATTTGCAAGTGTTAATTCAGCATTACTATTTTTGGGTGTTTAGCATTTGTTTATTACCAGAGAGATAAATGCGAGGCAGGGTACAACCCTATCTCCGCTGCACGCTGCAAATAAGGTTATTGACATACTTTTCACAATCTTAGGGTCACCGTTAGGTTTTTGCTAAATTTATATACTTAATATATATGGCGAGCAGTTTGTGACGATAAAAATAAAAGAAAATCTTTTTAAAAAGCCAAGTAATATCATATATACCGCCAATATCGATCGTAGCAGGGCGTGGTATAATCTTAAGCGATTTTCCTATTTATCCAAATTGCTCAAAAAAATAAAGGAACGTCCTCACATTAGAAGCTGTCTCAAGGCAGTCGAATGAAATTATTTCTTGGAAACATTGGGAAGGAACATGTGACGAAGCGGATACATCAAACTGTCTAAATATTAAAAATAACGAAATAAAAAGACAAACATTTAAAAACGTCTTAAACAAGTTTATTATAAAAAGGCAGTTCAGTTCGTATTCGTGACGAAGTCGAATCAGCTGACGGAAATTGTAAAAGATGAGTTGCTTACCGGGATATAAAACTGTTTGTTCCATAATATTTCGTCAAAATCTGTTTTATTCTTAAAAAGTTTAAGTAAGAGTTTCTCTCCATAGCTGCTGGACCACTGACATCACAGGACACTTGGTTAATGTCGTGAACACAATAAAAGCAGAGGTCTGTTTACACCGTGACGGGATTCGCGAATGAGAAGCCCGTGTTTTGAAACATCAAACGCATAGTTTCGACTAACAATTCGCCGGCGCTTAGCGTCGCGACGGCGGTGTGTGTTGAACGTTTCCTGGTGTCGCCATCTGGTGAAACAAATAGGCTACCGCTATACGCTTCTTCGAACTGAATTTTTTACCTCTGGAAAATCGCCGAAGCGGTTTAAAGAGAACTCCAATTGGTCTGTGCTTAATCATTAAACAAATTTAAAACGCGTTTGGCCCACATGTTTTCACGAGTCGAGCATTACAACCACAAACCGAGTTATTTTTATATCTGTATTATGTTATTAATACAGATGATTATTTCGTTTAAGACCCCAAAAATAAGTAGACACTAAGGCACGCATTAATGTTAATAAAACGGTTAATGAAAGTCATAAATGTTATAAATTTTATTATTGCATACAGAAAGCTCAAAATACAACAGCATTAAATAAAAACTTGTAATAGCTATCTATTCATTAGTCGGTTAGCAATATTTAATATTATGATATAAGACAACAGTTCATCTCAAACACCTACGTAAAAATCATCTTACCACAGAGAGTGTATCATAGTGAATTAATTCCTAGATTCTTCCGATTTATAAAACTTCTTCGAAACGCATGAATTGAATAGCTGTAACAGTGTGTAGAAAGCAAAAAAAAATTAAAACACGCACACACTTTTAGCACTCACTAATTTCGATCAACTAAATTCACTTAGAAAAAATGCCAGCCTAAGGCAACGTAGTACTAAAATATAAATGGAAGGGTCCAACTACTGAAGGGTAGTATGTATATATTTAACTCAGCTATAGTTTTTTCGTGCACAACAAACAGTAGCTTCGTAACGCAGTCGCTATGTTTGTTGTCTAATCATGTGTATTAAAAATAGAACACTAAAAGGTAACAAATATGTGCAGAAACAATGTCCGACATCACCGCATTTCATGTCACTGGGAAAAAAAAAAAGATAACTATCAACCTTTTTAGGCGCATGTCTGAACGACTTAACCACTTACATACATACGTATGTAACTCTGTCATGCATTTAATTAATTACCGTCTTTCTGCTAAGAATTATGGCCACATATACAGGGTATTTTTAACTACACTTCTACAATGAATCTTAAGTATGTTTCTACTAGGTATTAACTGTACTTTACTAATATTATATAGGTATATGTTGTTTTTAATTTAATTTATTTCTTGCATAAAAAAAATGGGTACACCTTTTCTGTCACTGGTCTTTAACTAAGAATGACAACTTGGGCATCGAAACGCCCTTTAGAATTGTAATCGTTTCTCCATGGAATTTTGATATTTACTTAGCCAGTGTTTTATTGAACTAAACAAATCAGGTCTATCATTTAATATGTTTAATTAGACATATATATTACCAACGGCGTGGGTAAACTATATGTGAACGCTTTGAGATCCTTTTTACGTCTCGGCTAGGAAAAGTTCTAATACGATAAATTGAACTCCACAATGTGTTACGATAAGGTTCATAAGCAGAACCAAACGTGTCTGGAAATCCCTTATATTTTCTCGTTTGGATACTAGTTCTTCAGCTGGGGAGCCTCGTGACTGTTTACAACACTAACGACTCTGGGTAAATGCTACTGACTCCTACGATTAAATAATCGTAGACAGATGGGTGTTTTTTTACGATATCCCTTAAGGCGTGAGGCTGTCGGCGGTCGCCGACGTCACCACCGTCCAGCTACACCCCTGTGTACCTATTACCTTTTTTTTTACCATTTCTAGTTTGCATTTTTTTTTTTAATTAGTAGCAGTATTTTGGAATTACTACAGTATTATGTCACTCAGAAAACTCTGTAGGTACCGATTTATAACTTTAATACTTACAATTAGATAATGTTATTTATGCTGTTGTTAATTTATTGGTCGTGATTTTTGTATGCAAGTATGGTATATATACATAAGTAATAACTTATTCCCCTATTTGCGCAATCTTCAGCAGTTAATGATGTCTAGGGTAAATCTAGGAAGCCTTACATAGAAATGGAAACTCAGACCGTGAAAACTTAAGCAATTTAAAGTTTTAATTTCACTTTCTTCTATTAGTTCAAGTCAGTAGTTATGAGTTTTTAATGTAATGAGTAAATCTCTGAATAATCGACTAATGATTTTTTTTCGAGTTAATTGACTTAAAGATTATTTCATTTATATATTTTTGATTAAAAGTTATATGAGTATTAAAACAAACAGTTGTGTTAATTGCTAGACACAATAATGTTAAAGAAAGAAAACTTATGTATCTTTTATACAAATCTGTTTTCATTTTCGAAATCTTTATTTTGACTAGAATGAAATTATTATATGAACTTTAGACAACCCGTTTGACACACTTGAATGGAGGGTGTAATACACATAAGGGTTGATTCGATATTGGAATTTATTCGTGGATATTGCACCATAAAAAAATGAATTTCAATTATTTTCCTTTTTCCTTTGTAAACCTTGTTTTGTTTGTAAAAATCATATTATATATAAAAATGCGTTTTTGAAAACAGTTTTTATTGAATGTGTACTAACAAGTAAAGAATAATTGGGCTTTTCGTGAAACGTATTCTAAAATTCTTACATGCACGGAATAAAAAACAAAGACAATAATAACATTTAGGGCTGCACCTCGACCGAAGACGTAGAATTACGTCTATCAGTTTTTTATAATTTTATCTTCTCTTCACTTTCATTTTCTGTATTGTCTTGAAAATGACGAAACCAAACGTCCGGATGCCTTCTTTATTACGACTAACTTTTTTGAATCTAGATTAGGTATGAACTTGCTGATTAGTGCACACTCCTTATTATTATAGGTAATTGTCATTGAATTCACTAGGGCTCGCGACTGTGGGATAGTCAGAAACCGAGCGTCAAACTTAATGTGTTCTATTGTTTAAACTCATAGTTTTACTTGTTTTATGTGCTTTTCTGAACCTTTTTGTAAGAAATTTAATGTCCTATAATAATCCTGCACACTTCTCTCCTATCTGGATTAATCTATCAAGGGAAACATTGACTTTTATGTATGCTACCGAGTATTAAAATTAAATTTAAATTAAATAAGATTAGGAAAACGTTATTCTACGTATAAGTTTTTAAAGTGTAACGCAGGTCAAGCCTTTTCGGGATCTAAACAGTTATATACTTAGATTACCACCCCAAAATTATTATTTTTTTTTTAATTTTAAGTACTTCCTTGAATGAAAGCTTTTAAAATATTATTAATTATTGTTTACAACAACAAGTTATTTGAAATACTCTAAGATTGAACTTTTAATACATTTAAATTCAAAAAATTAAATAGGACTTCATTAATACTTAACAACCAAAATTGATAAATACCTATTTACATTTTTGTGCAGTTTTATGAAAATCAAAATAAGCCAACAAAGATAAAGTTCTTCATTTTAAAATTTGTAGTATTATTTAAATTTCTGTTTTAAAAATTTCTATTTGTGGTACGTTATTCTTAAAACAATAAGTAACATGTGGATGCATGAAAACCGTTCCTTCGTGGGAAATGGGAATTTCATGAGAAGCGTGCGTTTGCCGACAATTTAGAGTTTTAATTAATTTTTTTTATCAAAATCGTTTATTAAGGATATATAGATCAATTATTTTTGTTTTAGGTAAACTGTAGTATTTGCTCCACGATTAAAATAATGATATGATTAATAAGCTTGAAAAGAAAGCAAATCGTTCGTTTATGGAGTAATTACTTTTTGTTATAGAAACAATTTATAGACATATTATAGTTAGATATACTTTAACGCATCAAAATTTAAGGTTTTCTTGGAATAGAGTGAATTAATAATTAATATTGTGCCACTTATAAATGAAAGCATAATAATACAGTTATTATGCTTTCATTTATAACTAAGATGGTACCTACAATTCATTCGAATACAAATTTTTCTATTTCAAATGTTGTTCATGCTGCAATATATTAGGTATCTATGTTATAAAAGTGTGTGGAAATTTAAACGCATGTTTAGTATATTTACAAAATATAGGATTTTAATTAAATTTCAATTGACAATTTTTTTTAGATAAAAACCTGAAATCCCTTTTAAATTATGAATGTATGTTCAAAACCATATTTTCCTATGTTATTCAGCTTCTTGGTTGATAGTTTATAATTTTGATAATGTGCAAAGTTTTTAGAAGTCGTAAGGTCGTGAATAAGTGTGGACGTGGTTCGTTATTGTAACGTGAAATAGTAAAAGTAAAGAAGGAAAAGTAGTGATAAAAAGTTGGTTGAACAACGGAAGACAGGAGGATGAAAACAAAAAAAGAAAAGCGTGCAGCCTGGAGCAAGAAAACAAGGAATTTAAAAAAAATACTAGAAAAAATAAAAAAGAAGAGAATCAGGAATAAATGGAAAGAAAATCATGAAAAACAAAAGAAAACCTAGATAAATTTCAGGAAAAAAATAAAAGTATAAAGGTAAAGGTGAAAGAGTTGGAGAAAGAGACAAACAGAAAATTACTGGAACTGGAAGAAAGATAAATATACTTAATGAAGAAAGCGGTAAAAAATTGTTTAAACCAGGACAGAACAACTTAAAAGGAGAAGTGAAGGAAATGATACTGGAGGAGCTGGAGATAGAAAAGCGTGCGAAGAAACAAGCAGAGAAACTAAAGAAAACAATAACGAGAACTGAAATGGAACTGGAAAAGGAAATAAGAAAAAAGAATAAACTAAATCTGATACTTTTTGGAATAGGGTTAGAGAACAACGAGAAGAGGGAGCCGGAAAAAATTATAAAAGAGAAGATGGGATGGAAGGTGGAACTAAAGGAAGTACGGAAAGTTAAATAAAAAGTATATGGAGCAAAAAATGGAAGAGTGAGAAGAAAAGATGCAAATGATTAGAAAATGTAGAAGATTGAGAGTGACGGAAGTTTATATAAGAGATTATATGACTATGAAATAGAGAAGAATACAGAAGATGTTGGAATAAATGATAAAAGAGGAGAAGAAAAAAAATGTGGATAAGACAGTTAAGGTTCTGAATCTACAAGAAGATAATAATAGATGAGGTAGTATGGATATGGGGCGAGCAGAAGAAGTTATTATTGCGAGAAAGGAAATGAAAATAAGTTGAGTATAAGTACGTGGAATGAGGCAGGTATAGAAATCGCTGGATATAAAATTTTGGAATGGTATTTACCAAGACTTTTAATCTGAAAAGGTTAGGGTTATTGTTTTATATTATTGGCGTTAGAATGTTAAATTAGCTTAAGATTTACAATAAAGTTACTACTAAGTGAAAAATGGAAATTTCTAAATTAGTCACCACATAATGATGCTCCCGTATGTTTGTTCGTCAATCTGTCAGTTAGCCTTAGACAAAATGATCAAAAAATGCACTTTTCGGTTAAATATTGTATTATTTGGGTCAAAAGTTTTTTTAAGTTGCATCTGTGAAATGCACAATTGACAGTGGTACCCACCGACCAAATTTAGACGGACTGCATATAATAAAACGAAAATTGCAAGATATGTTTGTTTTATTGAAGAATACAGAGTTCTACGTGGTTTTGTAGTATACATCATTGCATCATTATTCCTGTTTTAAGTAGGTACTTAAAAGACTTTCTTAAGTACTCATGGAAAGATCAGGGTGGGTTAGGTACATTTCATCGATATGTTAAAACTACATAAAATTGTGCATAACAACGAAATATATCAGCAATTAATTGCATATTATTGAATGTTTTAAGATTGTAGAAAAGTATATATAAGTAAATGTTTATCCAGAAATACATTACTATAGAATAGAAAGGGTATCAAAATATAGAAGATTAATAAAAATATAGACATCTTTTATAGATTTTGTAAATAGAGATCATTTTCGGCATTAAAGTTTAATTTAAGATTAATTATTTTAAACATTATCTTACTATTTTAACGTTCAACATGTATTTCTTCAATAGACATTTTTCTGGATAAAGAAAAATAATATTGATAGTCAATAGGAAGGTAGTTTGTTCTAGCAGTAGAACTATTCAGTAGACATCCTAACATGAAGAAATGTGAACGACAATTGCTAAACGATATTCCACATATTATATTTTTAACATACATCTTCTAGTTCTCTTTCTTCATCAGATGAATCTATTTGGGACTGGGCTAAGGATGACTGCTTCGAAAGTGACTGAAACGTAATAAGATAATTTGTCACTTTATGGTCAGGCTTTTTTTTATAAAAGAATATCTGCTTAAGGTAGATGTGTGAAATTTTATAAAGACATTTGTTCAATTTTTCTTTAAAATATATGAAACAAAGAAAAACAAAACATTTATCCATTGTATTTTAATAATTTTTCAACATAAAGAATATACAAATGTTTTTGATGAGTTATATCCAATAAGTATCTTTTTATCTATTTAGTATTTCAGAAAATATGCACAGTAATAAATTACCAATTTGTTACAAATAGTTACCTGATGAAGACGTCTTCTGGGTGGAGATCTTTTATTCCACAGAGCTTCTAATTGATCAAAATGTTGAGACTGTGCTAACGAGCCTTGCTTGTTTGGAAGGTTTGATTCCTGTTGAAGTAAACTGTTTTTAAAAATTGTTGAGTCTACCCAAGAGGATTAAATACTAAACTTACGGTAGAAAATTTTGACATTTATATTTTTTAACGTACAACAGGAACCTACCGTTTTATTTGGAATAAATAATAGTTTCCCGTTGTACTTATATACACATAATCAGGGACATGTTTATTAGAAAATTTCAAGACACACCATTATCATATATATTGAAACTTTCAATTCTGTTTCTGAAATTAAACTAATTTATAAATTATAACTAGGTATTTTTGCTATAAGCAGAATCAGGATAGTTCGTCAAACATTACTTGTTTTTGTGTGAGTAAAATTTTGCACTGGTTCTTTATTTTTGGTGTAATTGTTAGTGCTAGTAACTTGATAATTCTGAATTGCATAGAAAAACTGTAAGTGTAAGCATATCTTAGTTTTTTCGACACTCATCGACCAATGTATTCTTAATAATACGTTACATATAATAAATTAAGATTAAATTGTTGGTTCTGAATTTTTAGATACCACTACATGTGAGTTTCCATATGAATCAAGGATATGAAGCTAAATTTAGTTGTTGTGGTTTTGTCAAATGTTTGGCCAATAACTTAATCTTCCTATTTTTAACCCCAACTCAAAATGGGGGTGTTATAAGTCTGAAGTCTTTGTTTGTCTGTAGCTTCTTCTGAATGGATGAACAGATTTTAACAATGCTCTTCAAATTCAAATTCAAAACGCTTCGAGAGAGCGCGAGGTACGTTTATGTAGATACTATTGAGCCTCTTTTCTTCTCCCTGACAACAGTAGTCGTTATGCGTGCCGCTGCAGTTAATGAACATTGTTCCCTGTTCACGTAGTTCTTGCTAATCACTCTCCAATTTTCATGTTTGAGCATCATAAATACATATACTTATTTCAATCAAATTACGCGAGTCAATTATGACAAACCAAAGTTAAATTTTATTCGTCACATTTCAAAAAATTGTGATGGAATAAACTGCTAAATAAATAAATCACAGATATACATATGCAAGACGCAAACTAAACATCCCGCTACGTTTCTGAGGAGTCATCTCGAGAATCTCGAGAATTTTCCGATTTTCAGAGTCATTTTTAACGAATGGTTGATGGTAAAAATATTTTTCTTTTCAACGATATGGTTGTTTTTAGTGATTAATCTCTGTAGAATAGAAGTGCTTTAATATGAAATTGAAATTTTTTAATGACAATTGCGAAACAATTTACATGCTTGTTCCTTATATTTACCTGCGAGTCCTTATTTTGTGGTATTTTGGATATTTCTTCCATACTGGCGGAGACCGAAAATCTTCTTTTAAATCTCTCATCAACGGCTGGAATGACAAGGTTAGATGTCAAATGCGCGTATTTCTTTTGCCATGTATATGTATCTAAGGACACCTCCTTTTTCAGCAGTCTTCTCATTTGTCTCTTGGGTAACGGTTTTGGATCTTAAACAAATGTACAGTGCAGTAAAGTGGAAAGTGAAAGTTTGGTAACACTTTACTTTCAATAATATCCTTATCTGGTGCACAATACGTTGGCAATTTAACATATTTAGCAGGAGTATTATGAAGACAAACTATAGGCGTGTACTGAGTATCTTTTAGTAAAAGGAATATACGGGAAAAGTCTGAAGTTGGTTCCAGTCCTACAATTGGGTGATGCACCTGAAGAGAGGTCAGTTGAAGACCCCTTACAACATCCCATATTATCATACTTTCATCTTCTGAACCTGGAATGAAAATATGTTATTGATAGGCCAATAAACAGTTCACTAGATAAATATATTTTTATGAAGGTATTTATTGAAATTAATGTCTTTCAAATAACGTGATAAAGAATAATGCCTTGTAAAATAAATTTCTGTTGAATACTTTAGTTGTATTCTATATATAAAACGCAGAATGATTGGGAATGCAAGTGAAAAATTTAGAGATTGTGATTTTTAACTTTCTCAGCAAAAGATTTTACGCACATTTCTTTTTTTGTTAAAGAAAATCATGTGCACAGCTTATTTTTCTGAGGTCCTATCTATAATTCGCGATTTCCAATAGACCATTCATTTTACAAATTTTTTTTGTCATTGCTGTTAAAACTTATCAAAATTTGTTTGTTAATGTTTAGTTTAGTAAAAATATGAAGTAAGTACTTTTATATTCAACGGTCAGATGCTAATAATTACTTTTTAGTCAGTAAGTCACCTTGCAAGCATAGGTATTGCTACCTGGCGAAACCATGGAAAAACGTGCAGATTTAATGTTAAAAAAAAACAGTGCATATCGGAACGTGGATACAAACACTACTAAAAATACCTGTACATGGCGTATGAAATAGGTAACTTATCGATGTCTCATTCTCTCATAACATTTTCATGAAAGCCTTTTTGTAGAAAATGTATTTCCTTTCAAAATATTCTTTGTAAACATAATGTGAAGGTAATACTTGAGGAGTTGGTGGCAATTTCGGTATGATTAGCTCGTCGGTGGAAGTAGTATTAGGGAATAGAGTTTTAAAACTTGTGAATGGAATAAAATAGGTGGCAACGTTAGATGTCGTTGAGTTTTCGTTAAAATATTTTTAAAATCGCAAAAAAACTTCTCCTAAATCAATAGTTCCTGTTTGCCATCTATAGACTATGTTAACTGATCTTTTTCACGAACCATGTGCGCGGCGGAGTTTGGCAATCATCAGGGCTATTCTGTCCCTCAAATTACGCAACCATTTCTGAACTTTTCCTTAGGTATTTTTTTTTAAATAATAGTAAATTTGTAAAAAATTCTTGACCGATAGTTCAATATACCATTGTTTTTTTGCAATTTTAAAAATTCATGTTTTATCATCGTAGTAGGTAAACACTGAATGACAGCTTTCTTTTTCCTGTTTTGAATAACTTAATTAACATTCCCTAGAAATTTCGTTGACTAGAGAAACATTTAAATTTTTATATATATACCTAAATAAATAGTTTAACCCATTCATTTAGGATGATGAAGTTTATCAAATAATCTTATAACGACCACGAGTTATTTTTATATCTGTATTATGTTATTAATACAGATGATTATTTCGTTTAAGACCCCAAAAATAAGTAGACACTAAGGCACGCATTAATGTTAATAAAACGGTTAATGAAAGTCATAAATGTTATAAATTTTATTATTGCATACAGAAAGCTCAAANGACTAGAGAAACATTTAAATTTTTATATATATACCTAAATAAATAGTTTAACCCATTCATTTAGGATGATGAAGTTTATCAAATAATCTTATAACGACCATTAGTTAAACAAGTGCCAGATAACCTCATTGCTACATGTTTAATAAAGCTATTAATTAATCAATAATGCGGTAATAATGGTATGCCAGAAAAGTTTCAAGTATCATGAACACTTAAAATTCGTCTAAGGACTGCAATTGTTAAACAATTGAATCGCCAATACTGATTTGATATTTTTTTAGAGTTATCTAATTTGTATAAATACTGAGGAACCAATTTTTTATTCAGACCGAGAAAAACTGATTGATATAAAGGATGGACATCTCTTTATGCTAATTAAATGAAAAAGTCGACACGGGTTTGCGACAGGTTTGTGGTTAACACATATTTTGTTATACGGAATCAATGGATTTTGCAATGTATTGATTGTGAAACATTATAGTGCATAAAAGAAAACAAACTACATTGGGTTTTCACAATTGTTTAGATCTGTCAGTTACTGCAGTGGCGATTGGTGCTTTCAAAAATAGTTGCAGAAAACCAAAAAAAGCCAAACTTAGAAGTAGATACAGTATATCCTCGGATATTCCTCAGAATATGTAACAGGAGCTTTTTATTCTCCGAAAAATGTCCTTACGCGGTATGTAGGCATACATAAAAATATTCGCAATTCGATATACTGATATGTAGATGAATCTTCAATGTTTTTTTTCGTTAGTTTTTTGACTTAATTAGAATGCTATGCTATGAGCCACATCCACAGTCTTTAGGAATCTGTGAAAATGTAGACACACGTTTATAAAATATGCCGAATTAGTAGGCAAATCAGGTTTGTATAATTGAGTCAATCTGTCTCTACACTAAACGCATCGTCACCACCAAATTTACTCAGTTCGACTATACAGTGCAGAAGTCGATGCGTTCAAATGAAAAAGCAATTCTATTTAAGGCAGCTTCAGACAGTCTGTATTTGCCGTTATTTTTTACATTAAAGTGAAGTGGTATCCATATGTAAATATGTCACTCTATCTGTATTAGGGTAATATACCAATAAATTATATTTATTTTGTGAGGGTAATAAATCGGGATAGTACTCATCAGAAAATAGGTAAAGAGGCTCTTTCCCTGAATGGTCCCTAATAGATCTTTGTCAAAGTTCCGTATGTTTTCCCTGACAATGACCGAAACGTCGAAAAAATTGTTAGAATTTCTCTAATAAGCATAATTGTGAAAAACCCAAAGCAGTTTGTTTCGTATTAGTGAATTAATTTTAACCACTACAGATAACCTCAAATTAATGAAGAAAAATTCAAAGCATCTCATTTATAATAATGATTATTCATTAGTTGCACGATTCTGCGACCTATACTCTAAGGTACGTATCGTCGGTGTTGCGCTGTCACCTCCTTGTAGCTTAGTAGAGTACAGGTGCGTAAAACCAAGGACCCGGCTTTGATTTCCGGCAAAAGAGTGACAGCAGTAACAATTTTTCCTCATTAATTTGAGGTTATATGTAATGGGTAAAATTAATTCAAAAATTAATTCACTAACACATCGAATTAATGCTACAAATATTCAAAGTATCTCAGTAGTTTGTTTTGTTTTGTGTACATATTTTTTTTTAATGAGGAAAATTTTTTAGCTCAGAACCTCTAACGAGACTGTTCAAGAAAAAGGCACGTCTTAATGTACGCTGCCATATATATGTTTAACTATTTTATTAGCTGGTGACTTTTTGGTGAGTTATGTGATCAATATTCACGTGCTGACAGCGTGTACTACAGTTATCAGAATTTTTACCGGAAACAGCAATGGTTCCATCTCCAGACAGTTTAACGCAGGTTATAGCATTCAAATGTGCAGACAGGACGTGCAAATCAGCTCCAGTGTTAATGTCCCATACTATTAATACTGCGTCTTTGGACCCTGATATAACTTGTGTTTTATTAGAAACTGAAACCGCTACACATGTTACAGCGTCTGTATGACCAATAAGAACCTAAAATATTCAATTGCAGGTAATAAGTTAAACCAATACAGATGCGTATTATCGATACCTGTGATAGCTTTCCCCCTGCAACTTGCCAAACTTTTAGAGACATGTCTTTAGATCCTGTTATCACAAATTGAGAGTCCATGGACAGTACAAAACATGTTATAGCTTCTGAATGACTGACTGTATATTTTTCTTCGTCTCTTACTATTGACCATATTTTTAACGAATTGTCGCAGTTTGTGCTTAGCTTAAATGTTAAAAATGATTTTAGTGTCAACTACTGAGGTAAGTATTACTTACTATATTAATGGAGAGTTACTTACCACGTATTTCATGTTATTCGTTACTCTAGTTAATAAACTAGGCCTACTATATGATTGCAGTAATTGACCATTGTCAGCCAACCAAATGTTCACGATGTCATTTTGATCACTCGATATCACTCGGCTTGAATCCATCATCACGTATACCGTTAAAATTGGAGATTGGTGCCTCTAAAATTTATAGTTTTAAAAATAAATAGATAAGCAGATCGAATCAAACATTCTACATAAGGTACAATCAGGATTGACATAGTAAGCATAAAGCTACCGGAAAAAATAAATGTTTGATTAAGAATAAAATAAACGAGGTTATATCAATAAAGTTAAAATCGAAGTTATGTCACTAAAAATCTCATTTTATAATATTTCTCTTGCAATTTTTTCTGACTGAGTTAATTCAGAGAAATTAAAAAAATAAGTGTACTTAACAAAAAAAAAATCGTCGCACGCATCGCAATCAGTCGCACTGTTGCTTGTTTGCTCAATGAGCTTGTTTATTATTAATTGTTGAAGTTTATTAATTGTCAAAACTATTTAAACAAGCGTGTGAACCACTGCAATGGGATTTTGTTAATAAGTTTGCGGTTTGTTATCCCTTGTTTTGTGGTACGGTGGTGTTTTTGAAAGCTAAGCTATAGTCACGTGCTTCTATCTACTAACGAAAATTCGTCTAGTGGACGTTGAAGGGTAGTAAGCATGGGGCGACTAAGTGTGAGAGCTGTAATGCTCATTACCACCCTTCCTCTGCTGATAGAGCTGGTAAGCTGAAAAATGGTACAATCAAGAAGTGTTGTGGTAAGGGTAAGACAACGGCTGATGAGGGCTCCTATGAGATTCAATCCCTTGATGAACTCTGGGCAAAGATCAAAGAAGACTCTGAGGCAACCAAGAAACTAATCAGGAATGTCGATTCGAAGGTTAGTGATATTGGGAAGAAATGAAACAAGAACACATCAAGATTGGATGCTATGCAGGTTAAGTTAGATAAGTTGCAAGAGGACACAATATCAGAAATTAGGTATAGACTCAGCAGGGCAAAGAACATGATTTGGAAAGGTATAAATGAAAGTGATCCTTCTGTCGTCGTTGAGGACTTCCAACAAAGTGACTTAGCAAATGTTAAAAAATGGAGTATCAGTATGTAGGTGCCAAAATCAGCAGTAGCTACATGGGTCAGGATTGGCAAGAGGCTTTCTGATAAACCAAGGTTGTTAAAGGTAGTAGAAGTAGGTTATTATTCAAGATTAGAGTTATTGGTGACTTTGCACAACGCAAACAGCTGAATGAACTACGTAAACAGGTGGCTATCTACAATGCGGATTCTGGAAATAGTGTTAAGACAATAAAGTATGTAAAAGGTAATCCGTAGATGGTTGATGCAGTTGTACATGAAAGTAGTCATTATAAATCTTCTGGTTTTGGAGGTCAGGATTCTGAATGACTTCATAAGTCGAATGAATCACCTCAGCTGTCGTGTACCAGGCATCTCTATGTTTACTATCAGAATGTTAGATCTCTTAATAATAAATTATCTTCTTTATGTTCTAGTCTGCAATGGCTCAATACGGTGCCTGATGTGATCTTTACACAGATATGGCTGCGTCCGGAGACTCATAGTGCTGATTTTATTTTCATGGAGTGTATGGTCTACAGGTGTGACAAAGCTGATTTGGAGTCTGGTTCCAGAAGAGGTGGTGGTGTGCTGATAGCAGTAAGGAAAGAACTGATGTCATCATTTGCTGGATTCTTGCCAAGAGTTGATGGCTTAACTGTTAAAAATGGTTCTTCATTCAATGCGACTTTCCTCCTCTTTTCCACTCCGATGTAATGATGGATGCAATTGCTGTTGTTGAAGAGAAGGTGGCAGAAAACCGAGGACTTTTTAACCTATCTAAGATAATGTGGACCAGTTCACCGCTTGGCTACTACTCGTCTAGTTATGTGATGTCAGATCAATGAGTGGCTGCATCTCTGCTGCTGGACTGGTGTTCTTTGTTGGGTTTGGAGGAGCTGCACAGTGTTATACCTTTAAGGAGATACACTTTGGATCTTTGCTTTGCTGAAATTTGCAGGGTGAGTGCATTTGTTGATGCGGATTACCTGTTCAGCGTATAGGAGCACCACTGTATTTCGGTACTTAGGACTGCTAGTGAGTCTAATGGATTGATGGAGCCTTTATTGTTGCTCATCAATAGATCACTGTGCAAAGGTATTTTCCGACTACTCGGAGAACGGTTTTTACTTACCCAGTGTTTAAATCTGTTAGTAGGAATGAATTTTGTAATTCTAGGCCAGTTACAATATTAAGTACGTTCTCCAAGCCTTTTGATTGTCTGGTTGCTGGTCTGTTGTCTGTAATGTTTACTGATAAAATCGTGTCTAAGCAGCATGGCTTCGTGGTGGGCAGGTCCATCTATACAAATCTTGCTTCTATGAATAATGTGGTAACTGCGGCCTTTAGGAAGTCGCAGCAGATGGATGTATTGTATTTAGATTTTAGCAAGGTTTTTGACACCGTAAATCATTCGGTTCTATTGCGTCACAACTACTTTAACTGTCCTGAACTTTGTGCGCTATTCCCAATGAGGAACTCTGCCTATCTAACACGAGATCCTAGGTGTCTGATTGAGAGCACGGTGAAAATAAATTTTGAATTTTATTTCGCTGCCTTTCAGATTGAGACGTGCGTGGAATCTGTTGCCGAAGGAGTTAACGGATGCGACTAGTATGGGTGTATTTAAACGGGGCATCTGGAACTTCTTAAGTGTGCGTGAGTGTAAGTAGAGTGAGTAGTGATTTAGGCGTGTGCAGTTTCGTAGGATGGCATTTGCTGGGTTTTGATGGTTGCAGCCTATTTTTGGAGGTCAAAAAAATTGTTAATGAGGTTATTCAATTGCAGTCAATAATTTGTTAATAAAATATTTCAATTGTTTTTTAGCTTGGTCATAAGTGCGATATGCTGATATGCGTGCCGTATGTTTATTGTTTATTTTCTTATATCTAATTGATTGTAATTTTGTATATAGGCTCCAAAGCTCGTCATCTCAATAAATAAATAAATAAATAATATATTTTATTCACGTAACTAACAGCATTTCGTCATCTATAGGAATATACTTCAAACTGTAGTATTTCATAGTGTTTATTAAATTACCTTACATGCCTATCACGTATATCGGTAGATTGCGATATAATGTCATTTACTTGATATTAATCATCTTTGTTGGATTGAACAATTTCAATTTAACCGTTGTTTATCCAAACTACCTATGATTAACTTAAGAGAACTAATAAATTCTAAATCATGATCTACATGTGTGGTTTATGATGATGTTCCTTATGAATAATAATTGAATTTTTATCGCTAAACTGGTTAATACTGCAACAAAAAGTATGCACTTAATTTAGTCAATCTACAACGAGGTAATATTGACCTTTCGAATTTATTAGATCATGAATTATGTATTCATATTCCCAATCCTCAATAAAAGGCAATTGTAATGTATTATTATCGAATAGATGCAAAAAAGTTGATTCAATTTTCCGAATTTATAAGTGGCAATTTTCTATAGGTGACGTTTAACACGCTGTTTATAGTAATTTGTAGAACCACATCTAAACATAGCAGATATAGTTAGTTTCTATTCTGTTGGAACTGTCTACGTCGTGCTGATGAGATCTAATGTGATCGAAATCGCGATCTACTATGACGAATTCGACACAATACTGACTACCATGAATACCATATTCTGTTTGGTTACGTGTCTATCACGTGGAGGTAGCTCGGCCATGGGTTCAGTTCGATAAGTTCATATCCTTATAGAATGTAATAATTCTCTACATCAATACTTATGTATATTTTAATCTTATTTTGATATTTAGAATTTACAATTATTTTATGTCGCAGTAAAGAAATTGAAGTGTTAATTTTTTTTTATATAACCATGTTTCTTAAACATTGTAAAGCATCATAATTTTGCTGTTACTATTAAACTCTGAAGGTCCAGGCCGAGATTAATTTCAACTGTATAGGCATGTTTATCGTTAGGTACTTAAGAGTTAACAATACTTACGGTAAAGGTAGACACTAGAGTTCCAAGGGTCAATCCCCAAATTTTGATTGTCTTATCTTCTGATCCCGATACAACGAACAAGCAATTGGGAGCAAAGCAAACGCTGGTTACTGTTGCCGTGTGGTCGTCAAGTGTAAACAAAAGTCCATGAGAATTGAGTTGCCACACATTTACTAAATTATCTGTTGAACCAGACACAGCCAGTTGACCATCGCGAGAAATATCGATGCACGTTACCTGACCATCATGTGGTTTTAAATTGTGGGGAGATTTTCTGTTACAATGAACGAGTGGGACATTAGTGTCAGCACTTCGGAATGGATAAAAGAAAACTCGATTTCCACCTGAAATTACACAATCTAGTATAAGACTATGAAGGTAGATATGGTATTTAATAATATAGTTAATGCTCTCATATTTTGTTGGACAAGTTTTATGTTTGGTTACAAGGGTAATTCCAAAAGTAAGGCCTGCAAAGAGCTGAAGCTGCAAGGAAATTTTGATACGGCTGTTTGACACATTCCTGTGTTTGTTGCTTATCTCACTGCCAAACAACCCATAGCTTCGCTTTCTGGAAGGTTTCATCTTAGCTCACTCAAAATGAAGCCTTGCTCGCGCAGTCATTCGGGTTCTTGTACTTACGCAAATGGCGCCAAACCTATCGAAATCCATCAGCAATCTACCAAGTGCACGGAGAATCGTGTAGGTATAAATTTCAAAAATTGAGAAAAGTGTACGCAAAATTAATGTCATAAATACTTAAAGAAAATCATCAATACCAACACTTTGACTTTTTCCACATCGATGCTACACAGATAAAAACGATAACTTTTTGAATTGGATTGTCATGAGTGACGCAACCTAAATGTTCCACATTATACTTTAGGTCAAACATTAATCTCCAAATCTGCGAAAATTTAGACTAAGTTTGTCGGTGAAGTTATGTCTGCTATGTTTTGAGATAGAAAAATACCTCCCCCCCAATTCTATTCCAAAACACAGTAGTAAAACACTGTTGTCGCTCATCATCCACTCGTAGTTCGAGCTTGGCACTCAGTGACTATCAAGTGGATTCTTTAACGACATGACATCGAGCTGATATGATATGGGCATCCAAAAATTGCCACACAGCCTATAATTATACTTCAACAGAAATAGAGGTATGTAGGAAACTAGAGGAAAGTTCAAGATTTGAAAAGATGTAACAAATACTGAAAATAAACGTTTCTGTTTTTTTTTTATTTCTAAGAAACTAGGAGGCTTTATCTTTGGAATTACATATCTTCGTAGATGACCATTATCAGCGTTACCAGGAATGTCTCTGACTAACATGTTACTGTTATAGCAGATATATCTCAGTAAGGTTTTCTGAAACATCCAAAAATGTCTACTTCGTTTATGGATCGCAAGTATTACTAGTAGATGGAAAAGAATTCCGATGTTTTAAATTTCAAGTTATAAGTGACATTTGAGGAATTGTTTCGGATCAAATTCTTAATAAATGTCTTTACACTTTTCTGTAATAACGAGGTGAGGGTGTTAATTCCCTCTAATAAAAAATAGTAATACATTGTAGAGTTTTTCTGCTGCCTAATTAAAGTTTAATTAATGTAGATTCAATGAAGCTGATTTTCATTTAGGTATGCAAAAGTTTCATACGCAGCCTTAATTAACAAAGTGCCTTCATTTATCAACCTTATTCTAAGTTCCTTATAATTGACACACCTGCAGTTAATAAGAAGTCATCTTTTTCCGTTATCTGAACGGCTGCTACTTCTGCAGGTAACCCTGTTAACGTTTTAGTAAGTTTTCCGCTATGGACGTCGTATATATAAACTTTGCTATCGGAACATCCCACAACGGCTCTGCAACTGTCTTGCGTGAGGCAAATGGAGGTTACCTAAAAGTTCATTTGTAATTGGTTTATTCATTTTTGATATTAATACCCAATGTGTAACTAGTTTATATGGGATATTTCATGTCAAGTGCTTACGATAATTCATAAGACAATGAGCGAAACCAAGTTATATTTATATATGCATAAACTCCGATTTCAATGAAGTTATGGTATGCTGAATAAGAATATATACATATGTTTGTTGGGCGTAGAAACCATTTTATTGTGTAGAGCCTTCGAGCTTCGAAAAATTAATTATCAGATTGAGATATCAATTGAGATTTGGATAGGTTAGGTTTGGTTCAATTAGTACCAAACCTAACCTATCCAAATCTTTGTTGTAAGCAAAAGAAGGTTCACGACTACTTCGTTCGTACCTACTCTAACCCTATGATCCAAATCTAATCGAACTTCATAATTTTTCTTGATTGGTAAGAGTCGTAAGGTTATGGTAGGTTAAGACAACACGAGCAAAATAGATAACTGCTGTCTTAGTCGAGTATTTACTTTTGTTTACAGCATTATGCACCTACAAAAAGATATTGTATACAGGGTTTCTCACGGTGACCACCCGTTAGAATATTTCGGATACTTCGATTCGAATTTTGAAAATTGATTGATAATTAACGACATCAGCAGATAATTAATGTATTAGTTTAATCGTTCGATATGCCTTCGTTTCCGATCCGACGGGACTTGAACCTTGACGAAACTCTGGTACAAACTAGAGTGGGTGGATCGGCTTGCGAGTTTCGATGATTTAGGGAGCCGGAGCATAGGTTCATCCATAATGGAGGGGTTCTTAAAGAGAAACCAGACTAAGACAAGTCCCTGAAAGAGGGCAGCTCTTTCAGTATTCAGGGTGGCAGAGATCACGAGGATCGGTATGGCACTCTGATGCACAATACTGCGATGTGGAAGGCAACGAGAAACCACCACACTATGATTCCGAGTAAAACGTTCAACTACTGAAATTAAATGATGGCGTCCTCTGGGGTGAAGCACTCCGGAAAACTATTTAAAAATAGAGATGGATAGATTAGAATTAGATATAGTAGGTATAAGTGAAGTCCGTTGCCCCGAAGCTGGAGACTTCTGGAGTGGGGTCTTTGGAGTAATACATACAGGATCTGTAGAAGGTAATTCAGGTGTAGGAATTGTAATGCGTAGGAAAGTAGGGCAGAGTGTAGAAAGTTATTTACAAAAAAGCGATAGGATAGTTATGGTTAAATTAAACTCAAAGCCGGTAAGAACGGTATTAGTGCAGGTCTACATGCCTACATCATCTTACAGTGATGAAGACGTAGAAGCAGTTTATGCAGATATAGAAGACGTGTTAAGTTTAGTGAAAGGACAGGACAACCTAATAGTTTTAGGAGATTTCAACGCAGTAATAGGTGAAGG